AAACACACATACACATATATATAAACACACACACACACACACACACTTATTGTATCCAATTATCCGTGGTTTATGCACATGCTGAACTAGCAGAAGAAGATAGCTATTGAAACAAATTCGGGACTGTTCTATCAATCACTCCTACACATACACTAACGTAAATACACACACACACACACACACACACACACACACACACACACACACACACACACACACACACACACACACACGTACATAAACCATAAACGTACATACATAAAAGCCTATACACAAAAGTTAGGTACAGACGAATTCGTAAACAAAGGCAAACGAAAAACCAATGAATAGAGAAATACAAATGCACATATCAACAGATACAAATCAAAACGTGCTTACTTATTAAATCAATTTTATTCATAAATTTCTACCTGCTTGCTTGTATAACAGCATAAATAAGCATAGAAAGAAACATACAAATATAAATACATATATATGTCCAACAACTACATGTCCAATTATGTACTTAAGCAGACATACACAGCAGACACATACATACATACATACAACCATACATGCAAGCGTACAAACATACAATCATCGATGTTAACAAATTACAAAGAAACAAACATGCAAACAGACATACACAAAACGAACACATGCAAATGAAACCAAGAAAGCGAAAAACTAAGAGTGCACCTATGCATAAATAGCAATACGAAGTGTCTCACTCGAACACAAAACACTACGAAGTTTCTCTTTCTCTCTCTCTCTCTCTCTCTCTCTCTCTTTCCCTCTTTCTCTCTCTTACGCACACACACAAACACACCCACGCACGCACTCACACATACATTCAATGCAACCGAAATACAAAGACGAGAAGATGGAAAAGTGTTAGGGAAACATCAATCCACAAATGTGTGTGCGTGTGTGTAGATCATTAAGATGAAAAATATGGAGATGGTGAGAGAGGAGAAAAAGAGAGAGAGAGAGAGAGAGAGAGGGAGAGGGAGAGAAAGATTAACGAAAAGAAGTGTGTTAAAAAATACAATAGCGATAAATAGGACGAAAAGTAGTGAGATGGAAGTGGAAACATGTGGAAAGAGAAGAGTAAATTGGGAAAAAGTTGTATAAAAGATGATGAAAGAGAGAGAGAGAGAGAGCGAGAAAAAATAGAAATAGCAGAAATAGAGAAAAAGATAGAAAAAAGAAATAAGCAACAACAAAATTAAAAAAACATAATGAGAGAAAGAGAGAGAGAGAAAGAGAGAGAGGGGGGGGGGGACGAAAAGATGAACAAAAAAATGAGTACAAAACAAATATAAAAACATAATAATAAGAATCGTAAATAAGAAAAGACGGTAGCATTGTAACACAAAGAATGAACGAGGCAATGTTTTGAAGAAGAGGGAACTTTTGCAAGTTTAACAATAGAATAAAGTGGGCAAGAAGCATCACTAGCATCTGATCCGTTAGTGGTAATCGTAAAACTTGCATGTGTATGTATGTGTGTGTGTGTGTGTATGTGTGTGTATGTATGTATGAATATTTGCTTGTTTGTAATTTTTTTCATATTTTGTATATGTAGAATAATATTTGTGCTTATGAATGTTTAAAGGAAGGATACCAACGCTATGAATATGCTTTATATTCTGTCTCATCTCTCTTTCTCTTTCATTTTCTTTCTTTTTATCTCTCCATCCATCCATCCATCCATCCATTCATCCATCTATCTATTTCTCTTTCTTTATTTCTATTCCACTATATATTTATCTACATATATCTATTCAACATTAAAAGATGATAAGTCTATTGACTTAAATCACAAATTCATGCCAACAAACGAATGAAGGAACGAATGAACAAACGAACAAACCAATACACATATACACCACAAATAAATACAAACACACAGAACATACAAAACACACACCGACAGACATATGGTATTTTTCAAGAGTTGATAAATAAACCGAATTGTGTTAAGCTCTAAAAATCAGCTACAACAACAGTACATACGCATAAAATACAAGTGAAAATGTTCGATTGTAGCTATTGCTGAAGAAAAATAAAAAAAAAATAATAATAGCAACAACAACAATAATAATAATAACAATAATAATAACAACAACATAACATTGAGACTTGAGATACCATTATACATAATTGGAAAATGCATTTGACCTCAAAAAAAATTATTCAATTAAATAAACCAAGCAAACACCATACATTACACCCCACCACATATAATAA